TAGCCGGCAGCACGCCTATGTGTAAGTGTATGTAAAAGGTGTCTGTAATATAGCACTTCGACTTGAGAGCGCGTCGAGCTGCGTCTTTCGTAATTATATTGGTAGAACCTGTTCTTAACATGTAGTCAGAGTACATGATAAGAACCAGGGTACAACATGTTTACTACTAGCGTACAACATTCAATCGCTGGTGCTAATTACTGCATTGCAAAAGGAACGTTCTGTTGATTGTCGTGCCGGTGATGACATAAGTGACGATATAAGAGCGCCTGATAAGGGAGGCTAGAATTTGATAGAATTGCTCGGAAAATTATGGCTAACATGGGTTCGATTCCCGGGCACGGACCATATGTGAGTTTGAGTTTGTTTGATGTGTTGTTCTCTCCCTTGCCACGAGGGTTTTTAATCTCCGGGTCCTCCGGTTTTCCTCCCTCAGCAAAAATCAACATGTGAGGAGTGTTGTGTGCTAAAATACTTAATGTAGAGGTAGTCAGTGTGAGAGGAGGGCCACGAGTTTATCAGTCTTTGACTGTAATGTGCTACCCTCGCAAAATAAAGTTATTTATTATTTATTATTATTAACATTGAGCTTCCGATCTTTTCCAGCACCCTGCCTTCCCGAAGGTTCTTAACAGACTTCGTCTTCAAAAACGTGGAACAGGTACAATCAATAGAAAATAAGACGTGCTATTTAGTATATTTGACTATTTCTGCATGGGTAACTGTCAARCATGAGATCCAAAAAATCGCCTAGAGTGGTTTTCATCGGACTGCGAAACAATTACAACTAGTATTTTTCAGTGTTAGAGTGAAGTCAATGAACCCGTGAAATACATATTTCACTATTACATGTTATTACTTGATAATTCCATTGTTTTCTTTTGTGTCTATTTGACTATTACAGTTTAAGTATTTACTTTTATTTCACGGGTTCAATGCCTTCACTCTAACAGTGTCTAATAGTTTTAACCAATATAAGAAAACAATGGATGTAGAGTCTACCATAGCGTCTATTAGCGTGGGAGCTATTTCACAGTCCGATGAAAATCACTCGACCATATTGTTTGTATGAACACTGGTTGATACCAAGATATTCACATTTGGTGCTTTGGTAAGCGCACCCTGGCACCTGTACTAAAAGGCATCACAGGAAATCTGTACCGCGTTCAGTGCACGAATGTAAAGACTGGACCTTGTACTCGGGTACAGGCCAAGTTCCCGGGATAATTTCGCCTGGYCGCATACAAAAGCGCACATGTCCACAAGACAGTAAGTGTTATGATGAATAATTTCCAGGTGGAGTCGATACCGCTGCCGAGGGAGGAATATTTGATATTTCTAACAGCGATAGACTGGGATTTTCCGAGGTAAGATATACACCACGAGTTACCATTTATCAACAAAACTGTTAATAAGCTGTTTATAAAAGCTCTTAAACAGCGCGCGCCAACTGATCACTCGCTCCAACAACGTGCGTTTATCGGCGAAACCACGTAGGGATGTTGGGAGAAGACGAAAAAAGGCCTAAAAACGAACGAGCCCCGCGAGCGATTTTGACGTTTTTGATCGTTCTTCCAACATCCTCAATTGCTTTATTACTTCACTGATTAACGCACGGCAATTCATCCTTTATTGCCTTTATGATYTAGAAATAAATCACGTCTTGAACCAATCAGATCGCTCATTACATCTATATACAATAAAACAAAAAAACGTACTATGTTTCCTTTCAGGTGCAACTGGTCCAGAAAGTAATTGACGGCGTCAACCTTTTGATTCAAATGGAGATAAGACTGGAACGAGGCCGTGCTATTGATGACCTGGTTCCTACCAAATGATTGGTTCTTATGTGATATACGTAGTGCAACCGTTATTCTGTAAACCTCCAATGGGAAGACTGGAAATATTTTATTTGAATTCCTGTTTGAATCAATTAAACTGTTCCATGTAACACAAATGGCGTGTTGTATAACCTTTTAATATATTCAGTGTTAAAATTGAAGAAGATATCAATATAACAATAACATAAATTAAAAAAATATGTAGATCCGTCAAAAGAAAAGTATTTTTCCCATTTTGTTTACAACTGAGACGTGTGACAAGTTCTAGATTCCATTGAATAAGGGCCTGTCARATGAATACAACCATAAGGCGAGTTGGCARGTTGTASYTGCGATTAAAGAGCTAAACCTACRWAATCCATGAAATCAAATTTGCAGCAAAAACAAATGGTTTATGAGCGGTTTTCACAGTCTCTTCCATATTCCCGTGAAACACATCTTAGCACCTTATCTGTTATCGGTTATTTTGTTCTATTGTCTCTTTGAAGGTGAAAACTAGCGAATGATATTTGTTTGACAGTCCTTTGAAAAGGAAAGTCTATTTGAAAGGCAAATACAAAGGAAAAACCTATCCTTCAATTATGTGGCATTTCAATAATATTAGTTTTCATTTCACGGGTTTAGAGAAACAGTCATATTAGTAGTAGCCGGTCACATGTATCAGGAAATGACGTACCATTATTCCGTAATTGTAACAAAGCACTAGAACGAGGCATGTTGGCAATAGTGACCATAACAGGAAGTGACGTATGTCATATATCTGTTGTTCCCAATAGGAAGTAACGTAGCATTGTTAATCTTTCATCCTCAACAGGTAAGTTGGAGATCTTAGTACTCCGCTGATAGTCTCGAATCAACCTGGTAACCATGGTGACCCAAACRTTTTTATGTATATTATTCCTAAAGTGACCGCAGCAAGTCCAAGTACCAATACGCCTCGTCTGGATGTCGAGTTTGAAGAGTTAGCTGGCGGAATGAGATCTGCTGATAACAGATGGCTTTGGGAAGACAGCTTTGAACAAAAACGACGAATTTAAGTTTCAAGCAATTTGAAATATAAACGAGTATGAAAGATCGGAAGTGAGCCAGAAATCGAGTAATTTTTTGATTATGAATATTTACTTGCAAAATTTGGGTAAAATGCACTTCTAGTAAAATATGAAATCAGGCAGAGCTGCTGACTGAAATCATTTACCTCATTGCATTTTCCTTGAAGTGAATCTAACTCTTTTCGTAAACTGTCAGCATTTTGTAATGCCTCTTTGGCAAAGAAGACCAAACCTTCTGCCTCGGAAACATCCTGGAATACAAAAAATCAGTACAAATGTTTTAGCATAAACATACACTGAATCTCATTGTTCATATTTTCAAATTACGAAAGAGATAAAAATTTCAGCAAGATGTGCAGGTTATACACACAAGGTAGACACAAGGATGGATGAAGAATGAATGCAGGGTGATGGGGGATGTCTTAATTGCTCAAAAGCCGAGCTAGATTGTGTGRAATAGATAAGTAATAGAAAGCTTGGAAAGGACGCTATTGTAGTCAAAAGACCTTTGGGAATAAATTTGGGAAATTTTATTTCTGACCTCGATGGTATCCAAACCCATGCCAGCTGAGCTACAAAGTCAGACTGTGACCATGTCAACATGGATGCAGGTCTCTGATGTTGCTCARCAAAATGGTCAAAAAGGAGAAACAAAATAGGGGGAAGTATGAAATTGTTCAAGTTCTTTGTGCATCCCCACCACCTACTGCCTGGATCCACCCCAGTGTGTAGTAAGGACACACTAGATCTTTTGCTGAGTCAGTTGCAACATCATTGTGAATATGTCCTATTATAACAAGATATTCGTGAGTGAGTAGTGGTCAACATACCTGTACAAATGTTGTAGGTTCACTAACGCGATCCAATTGTTTGTGAGCGTAAACTACACTACTTTCAATCACTGAGAGATGTTTGCTTYCATTGGCTATGACTGTAGCCACTTCTTGAGCACTAAAATCATAGTAATGAAACATAAATACAAAGAGAACATTTACTTAGTAGGTCCAAGATCAATAAAACATTCTTGATAAACCTATTTGAAGAAACCTTCTCAGTTTGCTAAAAAGGTGATACCATCGAAGCTAATACCAAAAGGTATTAACATGATACATTATACAAGCTATTCCTCGTAAAGGAGGTTATTTTATTCAGTGCAGGCAATTCTTTTACATTCAAACACTACTACACTCATAATATTTATTTACCAATACTCCCTTCGGTCTTAGTAACCTTTTGGAACCGGGTTAGGTTTTTTTGATTATGTATACGTACTTAGAAAACTTCAGTACAGAGGATTATAGGAGGTGAAACACGCATAGGCAACTTTCTGAAATATTTACCTTAGAAGGCTCTTTTGCTGTCTTTGTAATGATGACATATCCCAATCTTTAACATGGATATCACGTACAGCTTCGAGGATCTTTTGRCGTACACCTACTTGTGTTACTCCTATCTATTTAAAAAAAAATCATAATAAATGAATGGATGAAATGAAGAATACACCAATAATTATGATAACAATAGTGGCAAATTTCTAATGGCTTAACACTTGATAACACTCACTTGATCAAGATCGTGTTCTGTCATTTTTGCAAATCCTTCAAAGGTTATTTTATGTTCCTGTGTTAAAGAAAAAATGAAAAWAGATTTTGTGTTTTTCATTTGCGACAAGAGCTAGAACATCAAGTGACTACATTGAATTACAGGAAAAGTGCTATTATAATGGCTATTACAAAAACTACTTTTATTAACCTGAAATTTTGGAACCAAATGTCCAAGCTGTAATCCACAGAGTAATACCTCAAGCTCACCATATCTTTCTAAAGCACTAAACAAAAGAAAGACTGATATAAATTACAGTAACATAATTGTAACATTTTTTCCGTGTAGCATTTTCATGCTGAGGATTTAGTGAAGACAGTGTTCAGGATCAGAAATACTGGCAAGTATATGTTGTGGTTTGAAATATGATACATAATATGATACAAAAAGGAAAATACAAATTTAAGACACAAAAGAGTATACAAATCAGAGAAGATAGCCAACAAACAAACGAACAACAAAGGCAAACAAATAAAAATATGACAAACTACAAGAGAAATTCCAGTACCTGTTGTCTACCACCTTCTCATCTTCATTACTACAATGAAAGAGCAAGGCCAATTTATTAATACACTCATGCCATGTTAATTTAGGAAATATGCCACATTTCTTCTAGTTATCATTAGTTGTACATAGTAGAAATACCTTGACAAAAGCAATTCTGCTCTATTGCCGAGAGTTCCTGCGGCAGCAGCTTCCAATATCCCAGAGATCTATAATTTACAATATGATTGTTGAGGTGTGAGCCACAAAAGTCTTATATGTATATCACATTTGCAAACTAATGTTTTGGTTGCTGTCAATCAAACAGCTAAAGTGAAAACATAAACAACTTCACATAAATTTTATGCTTAGCATAAGGCATTATCTTCTGTTGAAAAGTATTGGATTCTGACACTGAATTCTGCTAAAAAATTGCCATCTTTCATGTCAATAAGGTTTTTGATTGACAGCCGCCAAAATGCTTTTTTGCAACCACAAGATTGATCTAGAAAATCATTATTTATTTCACAAATTAGAGACAGATGGATGGACTCAGAGACAAGCCAACAGATGGACAGACAGATAGAGAGGCAAGTGACAGTGAGGCAGACGGACGGACAGTTTAGTCTACTTACAGTGTGATATCCATTGGCATAAGCAATGTCGCTGGGTGACTGTCCATCTAGTGTGTACAGTTTAGGGTCAGCTTTATGGTCCAGTAGCACTCTGATTAACCTACCGTGACCTCTGCTTGCTGCCCAAGATAATGCCTGTGACACAATGATATCATATTAAAAATAATTTCTCATTCTTTTCACCACAATCAATGTCAATCAATATTCCAGTCAACATGTCAATCATCATGTCAATGCGTATCATTATTCATTCCAGTAAAATTTTCATATCTTGATGTCAGCACAAAATCAATCAATCAATCGATCAATCAATCAATCAATCAATCAATCAATCAATCAATCAATCAATCAATCAATCAATCAACTTTAATTCAAGAAACTTTGATTCAAGTCATAATCATGTATAAGTTTGAAGTCGAAATATTATATTTCATAAACTCTACAACTCTTCATTTTTAATCCAAATCTTGGATTTCTATGATGTTTTTGTCTTTGGACTAGTAATCATTCCACTATACCCCAAAATGTCGATCGACATGGATATGTTTAGTTGTTGTCTTATTTTTCATTAATTTATTGACTTCATTCCTTTTTCTGGAATTATGTTTATGTCGTCGTGTAAACCAGGCTTTATACTTACAGTCCATCCACGGCCATCAGTCTTGTTGATTTGAGCTCCTTTTTGAAGGAGTCTTTCACAGACCATGACTCTGCCTTGCCTTGCAGCATATATCAATGGTGACATTCTATGCCTGTTCAATAAAAAAAAAAATTCATTAAAAAAAGGTTGCAATGATAGTGACAACAATTCCATGACATGGACATCACAGTTTTGAATAATGTAAAAAAAAATATACAGTTCAAAAGATTCAAAAAGAACAGAATGCAAGGCTTTTGGTTAACTGTTATGTCCATGTCCAGGGACACTTCCAGGAATTTACAAAAGGGGGCCGCAAAGCCCTGTATCAATCGACTGGAACTAGGGGGTCCAGATGTTCCAAAATTAAAATCCTTAGAAATGTGATTTCCAGCTGAGGAATTTTGCCAACAATTTTTTTCAGTATTTGGAAAAAATCATTTAATATTATCCAGCAAAAGGTAGACTGCTTCCTCTGCACCAAAAAATTATCAATCCCTGATTTTAATTATCAATAATGAGCAAGGTATCATTATATCATTTTTAAAGGTATTTTATGGAGATTATGTTGCTATCTACAGTAGTCACCTGTCATAAACACCAGTTTTAGCACCATGTTCAAGAAGTAGTTCAACACAGCGTAAAACCTTTTCTTCTTCAACAGCAGAATCACAGTCACAAACAGCCATTAGCACAGTGAACATTTCTAGGACAAACATA